GGCTAATCAGTTCATGGCTAAGATTTGGAGATGTTTGTTCTCCATGTTGAGTCGGGGTTTAAATGGTACTAATGGTACCATAAAGATGTTATATGGCGTTAATATAACCCGAGTATTAAAAATATAATGAATTTGCTATTTATGAACCATTAAGTTTTACCTCACCCCCAGAATAAATTTTATGTCATTACAGACCTATTAATACGCCCTCTCTGTTTTCCTATCTCCTAATTCCATCCATCACCCACACGGTGTCTTCCTAGAGATGAGGGAGAGAAGACAGAGGTTTGTTTGTTTTATTTTGGAAACTGTTTATAAGAATCCAAGACAGGAAACAATGTTTTTCTTTCTGTTTTAAGGAGTTTGTTTCTTTGTTTATGGTTGCCACCTTAGCAGTTCAGATAACCCACCTACATAGCTTCACAGAACATTCCAGAAGCTTAAGCTTCTCCGAAAGCAGAACCGTGAAAGGAAGCTTTCCAATCTCTGCATAGCAACGGATGCCGGTGTTCCCAGTCCTCAGGAGGCTGCAGCAGGAGCAGCAGAAGTTCAAGGCCAACCTGGGCTACATATCAAGACCTTAAAAGACAGACAGACAGACAGAGACACAGAGAGAGGAGAGAGGGGGTGGGGAGACCATTTATTTCTGTGGTCCAGAAGGAAGACCTTAGATTTCTTCAACTACACAGATTCTGGGACATAACAGAGACAATCCCTAGTTACAAATATGCCTGTAAAATATTGGATGAAAATCCAGCCATAGGACAATTCTAGAACATTTTTTTTCTTTTCTTTCTTTTTTCCTTTTTTTTTTTTTTTTTTTTAATTTTTTCAAGACAAGTTTTCTCTGTGTAGCTTTGGTGCCTGTCCTGGATCTCGCTCTGTGGACCAGGCTGGCCTCGAACTCACAGAGATCCTTTTGCCTCTGCCTCCTGAGTGCTCGGATTAAAGGCGTGCACCACCACCGCCTGGCTAATTCTAGAACATTTTTATGGGCTATTACATAGCTCATAACAATCTTGTTTGGGTCTAGGGATGTGGCCTGAGAGTTAATATGACACTATGTATCCACATATGTACGTATAATTCTACTTAAGACCACAGCAAACCCTATATATAATAAGATATGATGCTAAGAGGGAAAGAAAACTCGGATCAGAAACTGAATCTAGTGAATGAGGAAACGTGTGGAAGGAAGTCCTAAAACAGAAAATGATGATAAAAATGGAAATTCTGGGTGGCTACTGTCATGCTGTCAATGAAATTATACATATAGTATATTAAGTCATTTAAAGCATAATATCTTTAAAGATGAGATGGGAAGTCTGCCAGCTTAGCGTGAACGTCTTTCCCACCCAGCCCCCCCACCACCATGTCTGGCAATACCCTGATTTGTTCATGGGGTTTCTGTGAGACGGTCACACATATCATTGCCATCTGTCCAAAGTGGAAGTGGAAAAGTCACCAGATCAGACACTCACAGATCAGTTGGCATGATGTTGAGCAATCATTAAAAAAAAAAACCAAAAAACCTTGGAGTCACTATTTTTATTATTTTAATTTTATGTATGTACATAGGTTCTTTGCTTGAACATTATGTAAGTACAACATCTGTGTGCATGGTACACCTGGAGGGTTGAAGAGGGTGTCAGAGCCTCTGGAACTGAAGTTACAGGCGGTTGTAAGCCACCACGTGGGTGCTGAGAATTGAACCCAGGTCCTCTGCAAGAACAGTAAGTGCTCTTAACCACTGAGCCACCTCTCCAGCCCATGTCAGACAATCCTGGTGATCTTGAAATCATTCAGATCACATCTGTTACTTGGTTTGGTATTCTTTCTGCAGTCACTCCCTGTCCCTCTGTCCCTCTGTCCCTAGGCTCTTTGACATCTGCAGAGCTGACGGCTGACACTACCACAGTTTTGGGTGACTTCTTGCGTTGTCTTTCTTCAAAGTTTTTCTTTTTGTTTTCTAATTAAAAAAAAAAACAGTGTGTGTGTGTGTGTGTGTGTGTGTGTGTGTGTGTGTGTGTGTGTGTGCATGTGCATGCGAGCACACGCATGTGCGAGTGTTGCGCATATTATATGCACAGGTGTTACCGGAGGTCAGAGTGCCCTGCCCTGTCTCTCTTACTCTCTCAAGACGGTCTCTCACTGAACCTGGAACTATAGTGTCCTCCAGTAAGCCCCAGTTAGCCTCCTGTTTCTGCCCCCTCCGCCTGCAAACACTGGGAGGAACGTTTTATAGGTGTACCCAACCATGTCCAGCTTTAAAATTGGGGTCTAGGGATTTGAACTCAAGCCCTCAAGCTACAACAAGCGCTCTTACCCACTCCCCAGCCCCTCTTTGAGGCACTTCTCAGCTCCACCCTATATTTATATATAATTTGTATATAATACATTTCCCTGTTTCTAAGGGAATGACAGAATGGGGGCAGAAGGGCGGAGAGGAAGGACCCGGGTGCATCTCAGACTTTTCTTACACAAAGATGGAAGCCTGCTGAGCTGACGAGCTTGGACAGCCTCGGTGGCTCAGCTTGGTGACCACAGGGCAGCAGAGCACAGGGGCAGGCGGCATTCTCCTGAGTTTTCGGGAAAGTGTTGGAGTGACACCTACAAATGCCGTCTCTGCGAGCCCTGGCCAGCGCGCTCCACCTAACCCGAGTCTCTGCTTTCCTCTTTTCTTGCCTGTGAGAGAAGTCAGGCCCACCCCAAACTTAGAGTTTCTCCTGGATTCCGACATCCTTTAAAGCTCAAGCCACTTTAACAAAGGGATCTTTCCATTTAAAAACCAAACCAATGGCAGACGTCAATGACAAAGTGGATTCTCTTTTAGAAGTGCTTGCAGACTTGGTGAGTGAAAGACAGAGCTGAAAAAAAAAAACGAGAACAAAAAAATCTGCCTGGTCACAGTCAGTCAGACCCAGCGATGGCCTGATAACGTCTATTCCCTCCCACCACTACAGCCCACCTTCAAAGGAAAAACCCTGCGAGCCTTAGGAAGTCCTCACATGCTGCCTGCGCTTCAGAACCCCACTTGGCCACTCGGGGTCCAGTAGTTAGTTTTCCTATATCCATCCATCTTGTGTCTTGCGAGGGACCATGGCAAGTTTTGGCAAAAGGGGGGAATTCCTATGAATGTCCGCCCCGAGGAAAAGGAATATTTTCAAGTCTGGCAAGAGGAGCCCATTTCTCTCAGAGTATGTCAGGTTTCTGAGTCACCCAGAAGAGTCAGCCTCAGGTTATAAGGGCCTGGACTGAACTCAGCTTTCTTTGCTACCTTAGGAACTACCCAAAAAAAAGCAGAAATGGGAAAGGAATTGGTCATCTCCCCCCTTGCCAGTGGGCAAACTTTCCAAGTGCCTTTTTGTCTATCCTTGAATATGGACAGCTTCCTTTTATAATGCCAGCACTCAAGAGGCAGAGGCAGGAGGATCTCTGTGAGTTCGAGGCCAGCCTGGTCTACAGAGCGAGTTCCAGAATAGGCTCCAAAGCTACACAGAGAAAACTTGTCTCGGAAAAAAAAAAAAAAAAAAAAAAAGATAGCTGGAACACTTGAAAAGTGGAAGCCACTGGATTACATAAGGAATTTCTAAGCATCTTTACAAACACCTAGCTGCTTCTAGTCCCACCCCTGGATATGGATGACACACTGCCATGCCGTGCAGCAGAGAGTTCATTTTAAATCATAACCAAGATTCAGGTTATTAAGCAACAATTTTATTCGAAAAGTCACTGAGTTCCTGTCAACCGCATGGAACGATATTTCCTTTTTGTTTGTTTTTCAGAGTGAGTGAAGAAGAGAGGACCATTGCATATCACAGAGTTCATGTAGAAAGGACACGACGGGCTTTGTGTCGGATAGACAGCTCTCTTGACCCCTGTCCGGGCGGCCTTGGTAGAGCATCACACAGCCACGCCATTGACAGTGAGCCCTGTCCTTCCACACAGCACTCTGGGAAGGAGGAACACAAAACCAATTCCACCAGTGATGCAGACAAAGAGTACCCTCCTCAAGGAGCCCGCATGATAAGTGGCCCCAGAGAACATCCCTGTGATCAGTCAGAGAGGCAGGCAAGTTATTAGCTTAGCCCTGAACCTCCCACTTAATGTAGGACCAGCGGTGAGGCCTAACAGACCCTGGCTGCGTTGACAAGCCCGGGACCTGCTCGCGGAAATCCAATTGAAAAGCAGCCAAGAGGAACAAGCTAGAAACCGATGTTCCGGCCACCAGGATGTGCACACATTTAACCTGAACGTGTGTGCCTGCAGGGATAAGGCCAGCAGCGTTCACTCTCAATACAGCATGTCACCTCACCACCCCCCCCCCTCGCCACATAGAGATTGTCGAGTTCAATTATCACCATCCACATCTGTTTTGTCAAATTTTTAGCAGTTTCTTTAAAATAAGATGTCAAACTGATAATAACAGCTATTAAAGGGATTCAGGATACCTGATTTATCTACTGGATTTTACTAAAACATTTCAGTAAAGCCACAGGCTCTTATGCTACCGTTTCACAGTGATTGAGATTGATCTTAAAAAAAAAAAAATCAACAAAAGTTCAAACAGCTTGTGTGAGCGTTCTGTGTCCTGTCACTAAAGGAGCTACGTTTGTGCCACCTCTCTTTTGGTCACTTCTTGTCACTAAAAGTAGGGAGGGTATGCTGGTAGATGCTAACAGAGATGCTCAAACACAAGCTTCGCAAGTCAGTTCTCGAGATCTGGACATGTGTGGGGACCCCTGGACCTCAGCAACCTGTCTGTCACTCTCCTTAGGAAAGATTCTCCTCTGCCGATCTCTGACAGGCTTTATAAGAGGCCGACGGGCTCACTGTTGATTTTTCTCAAGGAAGAAAACCCCACACACTCAGTGGTTTTCAGCAGATCTAATCTAGACCAGCGGGGTGCTTGTGGGAGGATGAACACACAGGAAGGTTGAAAAGCACACATGAACACGTGCCACGAAGGAGCCAGGTGACCCTCCACGCCTGCGTCACCGTGCACACCCAAAGCAGAGCTGTGCACGCACACTCTGGCTGGGCCTTGTTTTTACTGGCAGGTTTGATCAGATGCCTTTCTGGGGTCACGGAGCTCTTATCTGCTTTTGGATATCTGAATATGTCGTTCCGCAGAGAAAAAAAAGCAGCGGAAGGAGCCTGCGTTCTGTGCCGAGACATCCCGGAGGTATTTATGAGCAGGGTGATCTTGAGGGATGCTTGCTTTTAAAATCCAAGAACAGCAGCAGAAATAAATTAACCAGAGAATCTATTGTTAATTTGTACACGAATCCCTTACAAGCAAGGTAAAAACGGTTCAGTAAATTATGGATTTACAAATAAACGGGATTCTAGGACCTTGGAAAGCACTTTGATTGGAGTATAGATCCATTTTTCCCTCAAAAACAAATTTCTACTCCAACTTCAGGCAAAAGGAACAGAAGCCCAAACCCCTCTGGAATCTCGAAGGGACTCTCTCCCGGTGAGGCATGCAATGGGAGCTGTAGACTTGCCACAAACTGGGGCGTGAGACCACTTTCTGACTGAGCCCCGTGAAGTCCACAGTCACCACCTCAGGCTAATGGTACCTGTCTTTCTGCTGTCATAAAGGGAGGGTTGGCAAGAGACAAGTCATAAATCCTCCCCAACAGTGCTATTGTTCTCACAGACAAAGGGCAGGCAGGGCTCACTCCTCTGCAAATTTTAAACATTGTTGTGAGGGAATGAGCCTATGTTTGCTTTCCTATCGCAGCGAGATTAGCAGATAACACGTTTCTTTCCTGACTTGAAGATTCTAGTCTTCAAAAGTTTGGGGGATAATGGTGGAACTTCCGCATGACAGACCATACTAACTTCCAAATGCACGCTGACTTTTAAGAGATGCACAGAGGGGAAAGCCGGCCATCTTTGCATTGATCTGAAACACCTCCACTCAGTTAAGGAGGATGCTCAGGGAGATGCCGGGAGAAATACAACAGAAACATGAGCAAGAGTAACTGGTCTTGGGGCAGGGGCCTCAGGGACAAGAACATCTGCTGTGCACACATAAGGACTTGAGTTCAAATCCCCGGCACTCATGTAAAAAGCTAGATGTGTTCACATAAGCCTGTATCCCCATCTCTGGGGTTGGGCTGGGAGAAAGAGGACCACTGGGACTTGCTGGCTGCCAAGCCAGCTCCAGGTTCAGGGAGAGACCCTGTCTCAAGGGATTGGATGGGTAGTGATAGACCAGGACAGTCAGTAGCCTCTGGCCTCTGCGCACACACACACATGTGTGCCTATATCACACACATACCGAAAAATAAAATATCAGTCATGCAAAATAGTCTATAAATGAAAGCAAAACTATTTTTTTCCTCTGGAGGCAGAGGCAGAAGGATCTTGAGTTCAAGGCCAGCCTGGACTATGTAGTGAGAATCTGTCTCAAAAAAGGGGAGGGGGGTTTCACTGGGAAAGCATTTGTCTAATATGTACAGAGCTCTGTTTTTATATAAATAGTGCTAAGCACTTTATAATATTAGCATATTAACACAGTGTCTATATAATATTAAATGTACTAGGTGCTTCTCAGGTTCAGTTAACTTTTTTGTTTGTTTGTTTGTTTGTTTGTTTAGAGACAGGGTTTACTCTGTGTAGTCCTGGCTGTCTTGGGACTTGCTTTGTAGACCAGGCTGGCCTCGAACTCACAGAGATCCGCCTGCTTCTGCCTCCCAAGTGCTGGGATTAAAGGTGTGCACCACCACCACCTGGCATGGGAGCTTTCTTAGTAAGAGAGCCACATGTATGTCTACTGTGTGATCTGATTGTTGATTTTCTATACTGCTGTTTAGTCAGACGGCTCAACCTTTTCAAAAAAAGGAAAGAAAATGTACTGCTTATTTATATTTAGGACAACTTCTTTAAAATACAATCAAAGCTATTTATTTACTTATTTTGTGCATGTGTGCCATATGCATACGTGTGTGTGTGTGTGTGTGTGTGTGTGTGTGTGTGTGTGTATGTGTGTGTGTGTGTGTGTGTGTGTGTGTGTGTGTTACATGACATGAACAGGGACCAGAAGAACACATCAGATCCTCTGGAGCTGGAGTTACAGGTGGCTGTGAACCCGTCAATTTGGGTGCTGGGAACCAAACTCAGGTCCTTTGGAAGAGCAGCCACTGCTTTTAACCATTGAGACATCTCTCTTGCCTGCCTCAATTGATCCATTTAAACTAATAGAAGGCCCAGAGCTTAGCTACAACCTAGTACAATGTGGTTAGGGATACTTTTACAATTTAAAAAAATGTTTTAAAGTTATTTTTTTAACTTTATGTATGAGTGTTTTAAACTTAAAAAAATTATTTTATGTATATGGATGTTTCATCTACATGTCTGCGTACCACACATGTGCCTGGTGCCTGTGAAGGACAGAAGAGGGCATTGAATCTTCTGGAACTGGAGTTAGAGATTGTGAGCCGCTGAGTAGGAATCAAACCCGAGCCCAGCATAGTAGTGTATGCCTGTTTTTAATCCCTGCCCTCGGGAGGCAGAGGCAGGTGGATCTCTTGAGTTCGAGGCCAGCCTGGTCTCCGTAGTGAATTCCAGGATAGCCAGAGCTACACAGAGAAACCCTGTCTGGAAAAAAAAACAAAAAAGAAAAGAAAAAAGAAAACGTGAAGTCAGTGTCTATCCTGCCCTCTTCTTGGGAGAATTATCATGAAAATAAAATAAGGCGGTAAACGGGGGCGGGGGGAGTGTAGGTGGTGCTTTCATATTTTTGTGTTACAAGACCAGAAATGGAAAGACACAGAGCAGATGTAAATCTCAGAAGACAACATCAGCTGTGTTGGCTCGTCCCCTCGTGGACTTATCGGCTTCCACCGCAGAACAGCAGCGCTAGGGGTTCATCTGGGTAAGGATGTGGTGTAACACGGATCTTAAAAGGTCTTATTAAATAAAAAACCCGGAGCCAGATATCAGGGTGAAAACCTGAGAGATCAGAAGAATAAGAAAAGCCACAAGCTAACCTCACCTCACCGACACCTCAGCTTCCAAAGAGAGACCTACTTCCTGTCTACCAATGCCTATATGCCTTTCTGTTCTGCTGTATCATTTGCTCTTTCCGTCCAGCTACATCACTTCCTCTTCCTGTCCAACTGTCACTTCCTGTCTGTCTGTACAGACCTCCAGATCTCCGTGGTTAACTAGTGTTGGATTTTGAGGCGTGTACCACCACACCTGCTCTGTTCCCAGTGTGGCCTTGAACACACAGAGATCCAGACAGAACCCTACCTCCTGAGTGACAGGATTAAAGGCATGTGCTACCATTGCCTGACTTCTATGTTTAATATAGTGGCTGGCTTTTTCCTCTGACCCTCAGATGAATTTTATTGGGGGACACAGATAAAACATCACCACAATGTGGGGCCAATGGAGCAGCCATGGCTCCTAAAACTCACTGGGGCTGGTGAGATGGCTCACTGGGTAAAGGCACTTGCTGCCAAGCCTGGTGACCTGAGTTCAATCCCCAGGACCCACATGAAGAAAGCCAGATCTCCACGTGCACACCCACACATAACACATACATACACACACACAACAAGTAAATCATGCAGTTTACAAACAACATCAACAAGCCAGGCATTGCAGACAGGTGGGCAGAGCTGAGGGCAGAGAACTAGCAGCTGGCAATTTAAAAACAACAACAAACCAGGCATTGTGGTTGGCGCACACCTTTAATCCCAGCTCTCAGGAGGCAGAAGCAAGCAGATACCTGTGAGTTCGAGGCCAGCTTGATCTACAGAGCGAGTTCCAAGATAGCCAAGGCTACACAGTGAAACATTGTCTTGAAAAAACCAAAAACAAGTAAATAAATAAATAAAATAAAAACAACAACTAGCTGGGTATGGTGGTGCACACCTTTAATCCCCTTTCTTGGGAGACAGGAGGATATCTGTGAGTTTGAGGCCAAGCCTGGCTCATAAAGTGAGTTCCAGGACAGCCTGGGCTGTTACACAGAGAAACCCTGTCTCAAAAACAAACAAACAAAAAACCAACAACAACAGCAAACTCCACCTAGCTTCATCTTAGGCCAGCTCCATGAGACCAGAGGTGACAGGATATGGAGACTACCAAGCCTGGAGCCCAACCCCACCACCAGCTGGCTCACTGACCACAGGTCCCTGTCCTGCAGCTCTGCCCAGCTGTCCGCAAGAGTCAGTGCCGCCTCTGGTACCCTCTGATTCTATTGACCTGAAACATAAAAACCGGCGAAGCCGGAAGCACAGGCTTGGGGGTGGCTGAGCATGGGCACCAAATAACCCTTATGTCACAATGCCTGACAAGAATGAATCCGCTGACCTAAAAATGTAAAAAGACACAATCTGCGCATATCCAGGTGGGCACACGAAGTATGTGGGCACAGGACTAACCCAAAGGCCGGATCAGTAGTTTATGTGCATCATCTTCATAATAAATGAACTCAAGGAAAGTGTGCGTGCGTGAGTATGTGTGCGTGCATGCGTGTGTGTGTGTGTGTGTGTGTGTGTGTGTGTGTGTGTGTGTGTGTGTGTGTCAGGCTGCAGAGTGCAAGGCTGGCCAAGGGGGAAACTATTAGGAAATCAGGGATACCCTCTCATTGGCCACTTTTGAAATTTTCTTAATGCACAATATAGTTTTCACTGCAAAATACAATCAACGAGAAGAGTATCATTTCACAACAATTTTTACTTCAAAACGTATTCTCTAATAAAATTATAAAATTAAGGGCTGGCAAGATGGCTTAGTGGTTAAGAGCACTTGCTTCTTTTACAGCGGACCTGGGTTCGATTCCTATAACGTTTTTCTTTTTGAGGGGTGGGGGATGGTTTGAGTTCCCGAGATGGTCTCAGTAAGTAGCTTTCTTTCTTTCTTTCTTTTTTTTTAATCAGGATAAACAAGAGTCCTGCAACTTAACAATGGGGATAAATACTAAGAATTATGCTGTTGGGCAATTTCATTATTATGCAAATGTACAAAGTCTATGTAAACTCGGATGGCTGCAATATCACTAAGAATATAGTCTTGGGGGACTGTCTTCACATGTGGTCTCTGTTGACCAAAAGTGTCTTTATGAGATGCATGACAGTAACAGGCTTCAGGATGGCCAGTATTCCAGCTGGGGTAGAGCGGGACATCGTGTAGAGTCCCGTGGAGAGGTCTTTCACAGAA